AAACCAAGTTGTGTTAGTATCCAACCTACCCTTGAACCTTAGCCACATTTCATCCTAGCAGTAAGACCTCCCTGATCAAAGATAAAAACAGGAACATGGAATTAGACGACAAGGAAAGCATCTCCCCACCTTCGTATGGAAATGGTGAAAGAATGAGTGAGTGGAGAGAAATAACAAGTAAACACATGGCTTAAAAGGGCAGAGTGAAAACCCGAAAGGGCGCTCTAAGTAAAGTCATTAGATCGTGGCAAGATCAAATTTTGTCGGCTTGGATGAAAACTAGTAATGGCTCTGGTGTGCAATAATTAGGTGACACCCAAACTCGATGAAAACCCTAATAAGGGCACTAAGGGCAAAAAAGAGCAAAAAAAAAACTAAATTTAAACCGAGGTTATGTAAGGGCTCATGATTAGACAAAGTTAACCTTGACTTTGCGCCCCTCTTGTAAGGTTATGCACCCACAACATTCTTCCAATGATAATAATAATAATAATAATAATAATAATAATAAATACCAAAATTATCAAATATAAAAAAATAATCAAATAATAAAATATCAAAATTATTAAATTCATCAAATTATAAAATCATCGACAATCAAATATCATCAAATCATCAAATATCAAATTCTTCGAATTCATTAAATCAAATCATAAAATATCAAAATTATTATCAAATTATCAAATTTGTCAAATCATTAAATTTGGAAATTATCAAATTCACCAAAGTTATCAAATCATTAAAATTATCAAATTCATCAAATATATTATCAAATTAAATTCACTAAATTATCAAATTAAATCAAATCACCAAATATCCAAATTACCAAAAATCCAGATTAAGATTCTTCAAATATCATTAGATGACAAAAATTGGAATCAGATTTACTAAATTATCAAAGTCATCAAATATTCAAATCATTGAATTCAAAATTATCAAATCCAATTGCAAAAAAAAAAAATTATTAAAAAAGAAAAAAGGGAAAAGAAAAATAAAGAATTAGGATATCAAAAATCAATCATCAGACAATTGAACCAAATCAATGTATTAGGTATAAAAAATGTAATCGGAAATAGAAAGGTCAAGATAAGGCTGATACTAAAGTCAAAACACGTGATCATAGTTGTCAAAAAGAAAGAAAGAAACACACAAGAAAAAAAAAAAAGAGAAACAAAAGAATCAATGACTTCTTCTGGGATGGTGCCACTTTATTGTTTGCGTGATAGTTGCATTTGCCTACTAAGGCCTGGGATGATGCTACACCTTCTAGGCAAAAGGTATTGCACTACATCAACTTTGACCTCGACCGAAGTTCCAATCACAAAATTTCCTCCCCCAACCTCTTTCCCTTGACAAAAAGCTCTAGGTGATTCTTTTTCTTTCTTAATTCAGCAACTCGCTACCTCCAACAAAGAAAGGCATCTGTCAGCACCTGATTTTTGCTTAGTCCCTTTTTTACCCATCTCCTACATTTTGGATGCCTGATTGAACCACATCAATCTCTTTAAAACATGCCAAAACCTTAAGAAAACAAATTTTAGCTAAAATGCCCATAGATCCTTTGTTAAATCTACATGACTCACTTTCAATGGTCTTGATTGTGCCACATCACAATTTTGATCCCCAATCAAAGTCCATCAAACGAAACAAAATCCTTAAACAACCAATCACACAAAATTTTAGCCTAAATTCCTTGATTTAGCCAAACATCCATCAGAGATTTCGTTTCGACGTGTATGACTCTACGATGCTTCTCGAACCTAAAACCTATGATTTGTACATGCCTGACATGATCAAACCCTCCCAACAACCTCATAATCCCAATCCATACCTATCCACCAAATTTCGTCCAAAATTCTCACATTTGACCACCATCAAGATTAGATTTTATTTTAGTAAAACTTGTTGATCCAAATTTATCAGTTATAGATCTCCATTATCCCAACTTCATTTGACCAAACAAACATCACCACTGTGTTTAAAGACCCAAAAAATCATAGCACGACAAATTTTACGTCCTAATTCACCCGTTTGACTGTTAAACTAGAAAGATACCATTTTGACGCACTAGATAGAATCGCCACATTAGCTATCCTAATCTAGGATCTTAAGAGGGTGGGGACTGATGTCAGCTCCTTACTTGACCCCATTAAAACACTTAGACCAATGAGTTTGAGCCTAATAGGCTTAAAAAGCTCAAAATACCAAACATACCCCTATTTGAAACTAAGAAAGGGGAAAACTACATTCAAAAGTTCATCAAATTTACATTTTTTGCCACTGTCAACCCCAAATACGGGGTTGCAACATCTGGCATGCCCAAGCTGTCAACCCCTATTTTCCAAGCTCGAGAAAATTTGTTGCACAAAGAAGGAAGGGTTAATTACATGCCCTTTTATCTCAAAAATCTTTGCCTATTTTAGTAAAAGAACTCTGCTGAATCACAAACACTATAATTGGGTGAATTTCAACCCCAGTTCCCTCTTTTCTCCTCAATAAATAGAGGCCCAACTTGAGCTTGGGGGAGGGAAAAAGAGAAGAGCATTGTCCCAGCCTTTGCATCGCATCCATTTCACATGAAATCCCAAAGTTCTTGAAGTTCAAGCCTTAAATCTGCTTCCCCTATTTTCTAGACTGAAGATTTAAAGCCAAAAACACTCATTCCAACTCGATAGCTCGCCCAAGCTTCATTTGAAGTTTTTCTAACTACGTCTTTCATTCCATTATCTTTTTTTCTAAGTTTAAATTCATAAATCTCTTTCTTTAGTGTTTTGGGTTACTTGAGGTCCCGAAACCATGGAAAACTTGCATTTCTGATTTTATCCACATTGAGAAAAAGAGGTAGAGAGGCGAGGGTCTTAGGGAAATTAGTACCTAAGACCTGATAACATCTCCTCAAATCAATTATGGGTAAAGTTGGGAGTGTTTTCACCTGATTTCTGGAGTTTTGAGCAACCCCTTTCATTGGTGTTTTGTTAGAATTTGAGACTGAACAACTCCCATATTGGATGCTTTAGCAGCTTGGAGAGGGGTGCCTAACACCTTCCCTCTCCTAATCCTTCCGGATTTAGAATATCTTGATTCGGTGCGATTCCCATGGAGAATGGAGTCACTATTAAAGTGAGTAAATCGATTTTTTAGATCTGAAAATGATGACCCATTTCCTCTAAAAATGGGTGGTGACTCCATTTCGTTGAGATGACCATGAGCTTCCTAGAGCTCACAATAGCTAAATAGTAGAGTACAGTTTGTCAATTATCTAAACAGTAGAGGTAGTTTAAGAAATTTGCCCTTTTATTAACAAGGGAAATGGAATACAAAATTTAAAACAACCTAGAATTTAAAATGTTTAAATAAAATACAAAATTGTAGAAAATGGAATGAAAAATTTAAAATCAATAAAAAATGAAACTACTTTTTTATTCGGGTAGTGGGCAGTTGGTTTAAGCATCCAAGATAAATGAGCCACCCATGATATTATAATTAAATAATAAAAATTCTAAAATGTGATAAACACACTTTTTGGGATTCAACTCATATTGTACTTCTTTAACCCATCGAAAGTTTCATCAAGGTTAGCAACATGTTGGTTTATTTTGAGGCTCTTCACAACCATATCATCAACATAGGCATCGACATTTTGGCAAATTCGCTCTTTAAATATTTTATTCACCAGTTTCTAGTATATAGCCCCGGTGTTCTTTAGTCCGAAAGGCATCACTTTGTAACAGTAAGTCCCATACTTAGTGATGAAAGATGTTTTTGCCTCATCACCGGGGTGTATCATTATTTGATTATAACCTAAAAAGGCATCCATAAAGCTCAGGAGTTCATATCCCGTTGTGGTGTCGACTAAGTGATTTATTCTTGGCAAGGGAAAGCTGTTTTTAGGACAATCCTTGTTGAGATATGTGAAGTCAATGTATATACGCCATTTCCCATTACCTTTATCTTAATCATGACATTAGATAGCCATTTAGGATAATGTACTTCTCTAATGAAGTTGGTGTTGAATAACCTGCCCACCTTCTTTCGTCGAATCAACTTATAGCTTGGGTCCACTCTCAGCCTGTGAATAATGACCAATAGGTCAATTACTGGCATATTAACGATAGGCCAAGGGGTCCATGCTCAGCCCACGTGTTGCCACCCCTATTAGCAATGGGATTCTCCCTAAAGAAAAGGGAAAATCTATGAAACTGAAAATACATGGGGTATGTTTGGTTCTGTGTGCATTTATTAGAAAAACACCACCACATCAACGCTACATAGGTGTTGGCGTCTGTTGTGTATGAAACCACTACGTGTCAATGTTTATCTAGTAAACGTTGAAAAACATAAACACTTGGATTTATGTGTACTTGAGGCATTTGGGGAAATGTTAAATTATTGTTTCTCCCAATGCCTAGACATTTATTGAAATGAAATACTTATGCAGTGCACTTTAGCCTAAGGTGGAAAATAACTTGTTACTTGAAACACCCATAAAATGCCCAATCAAACAATAAATGCAATAAACGTTTAAAGTAGCATTTTTCAAATAATCATTTAAAATAGTATTTTTCAAATAAAAACACACAATGGTAGCAATCGAGCTTCATCCCATGAATTTTGATAAATACAACCTGATTGGTGACTTTTTTTTATGATACCAAATGATTTTGGTTGTAACTTTTTCCGATATCATCATGTATGTATTTATGGTAGCATAGTCGAACACATACACGAGCATTAAAAATCCCTAAAATACAGGGGCACGAATGCAAAAACCCCAAAAACCAGGGTAGGTTGGGACTTGGGAGTCGGGCTTAGTCCAATTGGATGACCCGTTTTCACCCGTACCGTATTATTGAACGAAGGAGTGAAACCGATAAAAGCAGGATTTATGCAGGAGGAAACTGGAAACCATGAATACGGCGAAACGTTAAAATGGATTCATTTGACAACAAAGAAACAAAGATGGATTGATTTTTAATTTAACGAATTTTATTAACCTTTGTTTCCATTGGCGTGAGCAAGATTACCAATTACCAAAGTGTTATCGCAAATTTCCACTGTCCAAAAGGGGGCGTTGGATAATGAGTTCTCACCAGGGTGGGAATTTAACGTTGGATGAATCCCTCACGTTTGATGAAGTCTCCAAGCTATTCTCTCTGCCCATCGCAGAGGCTGCTAACATTCTCGGTAAGGCGGTAACCCTCTTCCCCCCCTCCTCCTTTTGTGTATTTCTCTCTCCAAGCGTAATTCAGTTTGTCATTTGTTAACTAAGCGCGCGCTGAGTCTCAATCTTGCGTGGATTTCTGTGGGAGTTGAGCTTTTCTCTTTTGTGATGGGGTTGTTTCTCTTTGTTGGTTGAGTGTTTACATTGGATTGTGCATAGTTGATTTTGGTGGGTCAGAGAGTTTCAGACTTTCTTCTGCTTTTGCGTGAGAGCTCTAGACTGAATGTTCACATAGGTTGCGTGAGAGCTTAATTTCTGTGGGAATTAAGCTTTTCTCTTTTGTGATGGGGTTGTTTCTCTTTGTTGGTTGAATGTTTACATAGATTGTGTGTAGTTGATTTCGGTGGGTATGAGAGTTTCAAACTTTCGTCTGCATTTGCGTGGGAGTTCCAGACTTTCTAGCTTCGAGTTTCTTTTAAATCTCCATTTGAGCATTCGGAATTTCATGAATTAAGTTTCCTGTTTTGTGCTACTTTGTGTGAAAAAGAAAAATGCCAAAGGCTAGGTGCGTATCCAGTCCACCCCTCCCAAGACCCCATATAACTGAGACCAACATTGGGTTATGGCTTTTGCGCTATAAGTGCGTTGATCCAACTTATGAACATATTTGAGTTAACAATGAAAGCATTATTTTCTTATTATTTCTAATCGTTATTTTTGTATACTTCAATTGAGCAAATTTGCCCTTTTCTTTAATTTGTTTTGTATTTATTTCATTGATATCGAGACAGTATTTCCCTCCAAAGGAATTGGGATGATCCTTCTTTTCTCTTTCATATGTTTTGCGAAAAACAGGTGGGTGGTCCTTCTGTTGCCAGTGCAGCACATTTACATTGAATTTCACGGTGGAGGAAGTTTCCTTTAGGAAGATTTTCGTTTTACTTTTTCAAACTTCTTGCTAAATTGTTTTTGTTATAATTTATCACGAAATAGTGTAGTATCACATGGTATTTAACTGGTAGTATCGTGCATTAAACTAATTAACGAGTTCAGTATGTTTAACCTTTATATATTTATTATCTCCATTCGATTATTCTCTTGACTGCAACTGTTAAGCTATTCAACGAAAATCAATATGGGTGTTAACATATTGTTTTATTATTCACCTGGAGAATGTTTACATATATGCTTGCCAAAACATGTTTTTAGTTCCTTGCATAATGCTTGAGCTTGCTCCTGTCCCTTCTGGATGATATGTTTTACTTCCAGTTATGGTTAATTATTTGGTTACTTATATGCTTACTTGTCATTTTTACTTGATGTAAGTAAGACTTCTGCAGTCTTGATCTGGTTTTATGTGGGTGTAATTTTCAAGAAACTATTTCATTATGTAACTTTCATGTTCCAGGTGTTTGTAGCAGTGTTCTGAAGAAGATATGCCGTGATAATGGTCTCATCAGGTGGCCATATCGTAAGGTAGGCTTCTGATCATCAATACATATTCTTGTAACTTGTAAGTTCATTCATTACTTGTTGGAAACATTATTTCTCTGTTGCTTTGTCCTGTCTATTTCTAATTTATTGTATAAATGTCAGAAATAACTTGTATGTTCATACTTCATTCATCTACTTGTGGGAAAACATTATTTGTTTGTTGCTTTGTCCTTTCTGTCTCTAATTCACTGTATGGATGCTGAACATATCTTTGGCTTCCATACGTTTCTTCTTGACTTTTGTTAATTTTTATTTTGTATATGTTTATCAATCCTACATTCACATGAATGTTCATCTATATATAACATGTTAATCCATACGTCCATGGAATATATTCATGCAGGTTGCATGACTGCATCCACTACTTGGGTAGTCTATTTGTCTTAAATTGTCATGATGGTTTGTATGAGATTCCACAAGGAGTGCTAGGCTTGTTCCATATGCTTGCATATCATGTCAACTGAATCATAGAACTGCTTTTGGCATGCAGGATGATATCCAGTGATTGCTTAGCCTCAATTGATTCAATTGCTTTCTACAAAATTACACATCGTCGGAGGCCTGATGTTTATTTCACTGTTTTCACATAATATGTTTTATTCAAACAAATAATAAATAAATAAATAACTCATAAAGGCTTCTCAACATATGCTTGGCTTGTAAGTTGTAGAAATGGTCACTGTTTAGTCACTCTGTACAAGCTGGCCTTTTATATGATACTGGACTCTGCTGTCATATGTAATCCTTGTTAGCAAGATTGGTTCTTCAGGAAAATGATAAAGCATGACGGGACTGAGAAATTTATACTCCTTGTATACCTTTTTTCTTTTGATATATATATATATATATATATATATTTTTATCTATAAGAAAGGTACCTTTCAAAGCAAGGCAGGTTGTTATCAGTTATCCATGGTGACCTATGGATGCAGTCTGTGGAAAGGAATATGCAGAGCTTCAAACCTTTTTAGAAGGGGAGTTGGACTTAAATTAGGGAATGGGAGAAGGATTAAGTTCTGGTTGGATCCCGGACTGGGGAGAATTTCCTTAAGCTGTTTTTGGCTTGAAGGAAAAAGTAGGGAAAGGAAGGGAAAGATAGGGAAACCTTTACAAACCTTGTATAGGTTTCCTTACCTTTCCCTTCCTTTCCCTACCTTTTCCTTCAAACAAAACATAGCCTCAAGGATCTGTTTCCCACCCTGTTCAGTTTGACAGAAGACAAAGAAGCCTTGGTAGCGGATACATTTGTGATAAGGGATAATGCTATTTGCTGGGCTCCAGCCTTTAGAAGGGACGTCAATGACTGGGAGATTCAGCAGGTGGGAAATCTCCTAGTTTTGCTCCAGTCTCAGGTTTTGAATATGCAATCCAAGGATTCTCTAGTGTGGAAATGGAACAGAAGTTGGGAGTTTTCAGTTAAATCCTTATACAGCGCCATAAGGGGAGGTTTTGAAGCCCTCTTCCCAAGCCAGGCCATTTGGGGGACAGTGGCACCCTCAAAAGTAAAGTTTTTTGTATGGGGGGCAGCTTTAGAGAAGTGTCTCACCAAAGAGATGTTGGTGAAAAAGGTTTTAACTGCAGTGACCTGAGGTGCAGCTTCTGTGGTGTGGATACAGAATCAGTCAACCATCTGTTTTTACATTGTAACTTTGCCTCAAAGATCTGGAGCCACTTCTTAAGTGGTCTGAGGTTAAGATGGTGTATGCCAGCCTCAGTTAAAACCTGCCCGGAGGCTTGGCAGATCCGAGGGATGACTAAGAAAGGGAAGATTTACTGGTCTTCTATTCCCTTAGCAATTATGTGGGCGGTTTGGACAGAAAGGAACAGCAGGGTCTTAGATCTTAAAACCTCTCTACTGAAGCTGAAGTCATCAATATGGCTTTAGGTTGTGTGAGAAGTTGGTTGTCTATACTTACCGACTTTAAAGAGGTTACTTCTAATTGTAATTTTTTGAGGATGACCTTTTTTTGAGGTCCTTCTGATTTGGTGTGGACTTGGCAGATCCGAGGGATGACTAAGAAAGGGAAGATTTACTGGTCTTCTATTCCCTTATTATGTGGGCGGTTTGGACAGAAAGGAACAGCAGGGTCTTTGATCTTAAAACCTCTACTGAAGCTGAAGTCATCAATGCGGCTTTAGGTTGTGTTAGAAGTTAGTTGTCTATACTTGCTGACTTTTAAAGAGGTTACTTCTGATTGTAATTTTTTGAGGTCCTTCTGATTTGGTGTTTACAGCTTCTCTTTGTACAAATAACCTTTTGCATCAATACAGTTATACTTTACCTTTGCTAAAAAAAAAATCAATTAGCCATGGCGAGCCTGCAAAATTAGTATTCCTTTTAAACTGGAATTACTAAATAAGTTCCATTAGAGCAGACCAACAAGTTCCAAAAGTATTTTTTGTTGAGGCCACCCTTCAAACCATAAATGATGCAGTGCGATCCGGACACTCCTAGCTGGCGGAAACTTGGCTCCTAGCTGGCGACGGGCGGTACCTGAGAAGAAGAGGGAGGTGAAGAATTCCCGGGGAGCTCGCCCGGAGGGAACACTCCGATGCTTAAGTTAGAACTCTGAGAGAACTGTAGAGAATGCAAAGAGAGAGCTAAGAGTGCAGATGGCGCAAGTTCAGTACCTTTGCTCCTTG